ATTATTGATACAAGGCGGATGAAGATTATTTGTTCACTTATATACTCCATCTTTTATATATAAAATATTTTTAATCAAATCACAAAAAATAATAAAAATTAATTATTTAATTAAAAGTATAATAACATTTTAATTTTACTCTTAATTATTATAAATAAAAAATAAATTTATTTTTTTAAAAAAAAGTAATAAGAGTACTTATATTTTTAATAAAGGTATAATGATTTATTTATTAAAAAATATGTTAATAATTTTTTATATTTAAAAATAAAAAAGCCTTTAAAAATTTTTTTATATATAAGAATGAAGGTAGTGTGTGTATATATATATCACCACGTGGAGTTGGCTTTGAGTGTTTGTGCTGTGGTTGGCCTATTATGAATCGCAATGAGGACTTGGCCAAAAAAAAAACAATAAATGACAATGAGGAAATATCCCATTGGAATGGATCAATGCTAGATGGGTTAACGGTTTGGGCTATTTAAATAATGACAACTGACCAGTCAACAACATTGAAAAGTTATTTTATAGTTGAAAACTTGACTTCATGATATATTTTAGGAAAAAAAAAAAGTAATTTTCTTAACTAGAAAAAAATAAAATAAGAAGAAACAAAAGACGAATGGATATAGGCCCAATCTAATATATTGATCACAACCCTGATTCTCAGCCCAATACAGAGTCCAGTCTGAAACTTGGGCCTATAAAACGGTTTTTATTGTATATTACCCATTAGCTAAATGGGCCAGCAGTTATGTTCTTTTTTTTTAAACCAAAAACAGTATTGTCATCAACGAAGCACAATAATATTACCACAAAGTATATGGGGCAAGGTCTGATTCCTTGATCGTGAAAGTATTATGAGGGAAAAAAATAACCGTGGGAAAAAATATTATGGGTTAGAACTTAGAACAATGTGTTTGAAAGCTAATATGATTGGGGAAAATATCAAATAGAGGTATAAAGCTAAGAGTGGATGAAGAAGAAAAGTAGTGAAATAGATGCCTTGGTTGATTTTTTTTTTTTTAAAGAAAATTCGATCCTTTATTCAGTCATTCACTATCACAGTGAGTGAGAGCTTGTTTGATTTCCCGTTACAAACAGGATTTTCCAATTTAAATTACTTTTTGTCAAAACCATATTTTGGCTATCACAAATGGGTTTCAAAAGAATTATTCAAAAATTGGTTAACCAATCAAAATTAGGGAGATAGTCAAATTTGACTTTTTTTGTTTGGGGGTGGGGGATGTGAATGTGATGACAAAAAAATGGCATATATAAATGATAAAACTCCAAAATGCAATCTCTTGAAATTTAGTGGTGTAATTAGGACGTTAGTGAATTATAAGCAAATATAAAACTTATAACAAGTGAAATTATTTATAAGTAATGATAGATATAACTCATTTATCAAATAGAATGTAATGCACATGTAGTTTTCTTCTTTTTTTTTTCCTCTGTTTAAATTTTGAGATAAATGCACAAAGAAAATCATGAGAGACACCAAAAAATAGTGAAATAAAAGTATTGAGCCTTGTAAAAAAAAATGCAGATGAAGTTAAAAAAAAACATTTATAAAAGTTATTAAACAACCTCTTAATTTACAATATTTATAAAGATTTGATTGATAATAAAATATTACAGTGTGGTATAATTCATGCAAGCAACTTTACTTTGTAGGAGAAGACTTGTTGATGGTGTAATAAAAAATGCGTGTTTATTATTTCTGGTGTTGAATTTATCATTTCAAATACATTAATCAAATGGAAATAAGGTGTGGAGTTGTAGGTGGCATGAAATACGCCAATGGTGAAAAGACAAATCAGCTGATCTTACACGTGGAATGGATAATGTAAGTAATCACGATACTCTCTGCAAACATTGAAGATTCCATTCCCCCCCCCCCCCCCAAAAAAAAAAGGACACTGTGTACCGAAGAGTCGTGGCTAGTTCCCACCAAATGGTCAAAAGGCAAATCAACCAATGATAATGACATGGGGCTACAAAGCTTTTTCTTATATGATTATTATTTTTAAAATGCTTGTCCACTGTCAAAACCGTGCAAACTATGAAAAGATTAGCTCAAATTAATTGGCTAATAAAAGATTCTTATTCTTAGTGGGGAATCATTGATGATCTTAGTATCACAACTATAACTTCTGATATATATATATATATATATATTTTTTTGACAGTGTTAGAAAGAAAATGGTTTTGGAAGTGAAGTCCTGGTTGTGAACCAGATAGGAGAAAACATTTATTGAGTTGCAAAAAATTAATAATAATGATAATAATAACTTGCAAATAATTTTTATTTCAACAAAAATTGAGTCTTTGAAGAGTTCCGAAAAGAAACTACAAGGATTTACAACATGGTTTCAATAGGGTGCTCATTCCAAGATGGATGGTGACTAAAAGCCTGCCATGGCTAAGTATATATATTGCAGGAAAATTTTGTCATTTTATGTAGATATTATAAGCTAGTGGCCAGCCATGTTCCATGTCGATTTGGATCCCTCAGTCGTTACTAACTAATTTTCTAGTTCCAAAAAAAAAAAAAAAAAGACAAGAGGAGCTGTCGTTCTATCAGTCTACCTTACATGATTTCTTTGCACGCAATTCAACTTAACTGGGCAGGAGTTTCTAACAACGAGTGACTTCACTTCCTGTAAAAATATCCACAAAAGAATGAAGCTGACATAAATCCCTCGTGATCAATCAAATTATTGGCATTCACACAACCCTCAAGCTAATGCCCTATAATTTGAAAACCGAACTGAATCGAATGATTAAAATATTGACTGAAGTTGTTAACTGTTTAATTGGGATTAAAAAACTTTTTTTATTATTGAATCAAATTGGATTGAAGTTGAGCCACTATTTAATTGAAAACACAAGTTAAATTGATAATCAAAGTAGTTTTTAAAAAATTGAACAATTTTAAATATAATGTTAAAAAAGGCTTAAAAAATTTAAAAATTAAATTCTACTAAAAGTCAACTTTTTTTTAAACAATTTACATATATAAATATGATTTGAAGTTATTTTTTTATAAATATGTTAACAATTATAAATGCAAATACATATATTTTTAAGTATCCTTATATCAATTTAATCAAAATCCACTTGTATTTCACAAATTATAAAATTATAATTTTATAATATTATTAATTTACAGTCATGTTATGTCATTTTATTAACATAGTATAGATTTTTTTATATTTATTTTTTATCTACATTTAATATTATTCTTATTTAATTATTACATCATTGATTTAACCATAATATGAATCATGAACCACTGCTTTTTTGATTCAACATTCAATCTGGTTCTAAAAGCATTGCTTAATTAAAAAGCATTAAGTTTGCAAACCAGTCACAATACAAGTTGTAGCAAATTCACCCCAATGCTGCACCTAAGAGAAAAAAGTTGATCATACAATTTAAAAAAGTTAATTAACCATATTAATTATGTCTGAAAATAAAAAATTCGATTAAAATACCTTATGTTAATCTATAAAAGCATGTATTAATTATTTCTCGTTAATGTTAATTATGAGGGGTGATTTAAAAAATATATAATAAATGCTTATTAAAATATGTGATTTTACTTATATAAAAAAATAAAAAGTAACACTTTTTCTTATAAATAAAAATAGAGAGAGTATATATATAAACTAGACCTTACTACTCGTGCATTGTACGGGTAGTTACTTTTGTGTATGATCAAATATGAAATTAGAATTTCAATTTGATAATGTATAAAATGTATAAATGTTTTGGGTTTGGAGCCTGAAGAGTTTATTGATGTAGTTGTTAGTTTTTGTTGCTATAATTGCTGAATAATATTGTCCATAGGAAATTGCTTATTGATAGTATTCAAGTTGTTAATGTTTGGATGAGGATAAATTAGAGAAATACAAAGAAAGAACGTGAACATTTAGAAAGTTGGTAGTTATATATTGTTCACATACAATATATCTACTCTTATTTTAACAGTAAAAAATATATTAAGTAGTAAACATGGCTACTAGTTTTTGCTTGTGTAAATGATATTTCGTTTCATTTGCGAAATATATTGGAGAGGTGAAAAAATTATTGCTTATATGCATAGGAAAACATATTTAAGTAGTAAATTTTCGCTTATACTTCCTCTCATCTCATTTATAAGATGCTTCTTAGAATATTTATTTGGTCCCATTGATAAATTACAATATAATTTTTTAGATAATACTTGAAAAGTATTTCAAAACTTATCCTTTAGGAGGAAGAAAAGATAATATAATATCACTTTTTAAATTTATTATATAAGAATAAATTTAAAATTGTACGCAATTCTATTTTTTTTATATTGGTATAGTTGATATTGATAATAATAACTTATAAAGAGAATTGGAGGAATATTCTTTATATCCATAAGAAGGCATTCTTTCTACATGCATAAGAAAATATATTAAATTCCAGTGGCGGAAATTTTATTAATCCATGTCTAGAGCAGACTGCATGTCTAACTATTTTTTATTTAATTGGTAAGTTAATTAAAACAGTATTTGTTCGTGGGTAACTTGATATAGTTTCTCTGAATATTTGAAAAAATTTTCTATAATTTGATTAGTGTAACATCCTGATTTTTTATATAATAAAGAAATTGTGGAATTTAGGTTTTGAGAAAAAAAATGATAATAATAGGAATTTATATTATTTGAGGTTATTTAGAAATAATATTATGGTTAGGTATTTAATTATGAATTTAAAAATTTAAATTTAAAACCCCATAAGCAATATTTAGTTAAGATATAATACATAAATAATTTTTTTTTATGTATGTGTTGAAAAAAAAAATGAGAGAAGGTAGAAGGAACAAAAAAAGAGGGTGGAAGGTTGTTGTTTTTAAGTCCCACATTGGTTAGATGAGGGAAGAGAAGAGGTGCCTTCATGTATAAAAAGGAGGGGGTGTGTGCATTAGGAAGCATGAGAGGCTAAGATGCAATTTAGAGAAAATTACAACTTTTGGCCCAAAGGTTTGAATAATTAAATTCAAACCTATAGTTTTTTTTAATATAATTTTGGGACTCACAATCCCATTTTTATATTATTTTTCTCTCTTCCTCTCACGTTGCTCGGCGTTTTCTCACAAGGGGGGATTATTTTCTTTTTTCTTCAGGTATGTTCTAACTTTCCTGTTTAGATTAGCATTTAAAAATTTATTTAATTACAAAATTAATTTTATAGTTATTTTCTAAATAATATTAGCTTTCTAGTGATATGATTATTTTGTAGGATAGAGTAAATATTTTGATTAGGATTTTTCTATAGGATAGTTAATCTGATGATATGATGGATTAAAAATATAGGTTAAAATTCTTAGGGATATAGTAAATATTATAGAATATTTTCTTAAGGTTGAAACTCATGTTTAAGAATTTTTGAGTTAAAATCTAGATCTATATGGTTGAATTTATGTGGAATCTGAGATGTAGGGATAAATCTATGATTATTAAATATTTATTTAAGTATGAATAGGTATTTTTGAGGTTATAGAAAGGTGATTTGAGGCTTCAGGATAATTCTAAAATTTTTAATTTATTTTTAGATAAATTTTTAGAATGTAGAAGGATGAAATTGCGATACTAGAAGTGAATTGAGGATAAAAAAAAATAGTTCATTAGGGTACGAGAATTTTAGAAAAGAATTTGGGAAGTTAAATAAGGCATAAATCTTAAATTAGTGTTAATATGGACTATAGATTTAAGACTTTCTAACTCTTTAAATTAGAGTTATTTATTTTAATGTAAAATTAATATATAGTATTGTGAAATAATTATGTAGATTATATTGACAAAGATAGTGGTGAAAAAGGAGTTGTGAAGGGGAACTTGTTATTCAAGACACAAGGTAACCATTATTAATGTGTTGTGATGAGTGTGTTTGTGAATGGTTATGTGTTGTTTTGTTGTTTGGAAAAATTATGAATTATTGAAAATAAATACTGTATATACTTGTTTGAAATTATTGCCAAGTGGGTTAAAAATTTATTTTTGTTTATCATGATGAGATATTATTGTTCGGATATATTCCTGTTTGGATATTTGAATGATGCATGACTTGTCAGGGTATTTTAATGTATGGTGTTAATGGGAATTATTGTTCGGTTAATTATTACCACGTGGTAAGCCCTCATTGGACCCAATGAGTGGCGTGTCGTTTGGTCCAACTCACCTTTGGCCGGGTGATTTGGCGTCCGAGCATGGCGAAAGGAGGATATAAGGTGCAGTCATGCAAATTAAATACTTGTTCAATTTGTTTGAAAGTATTGTTCGGTTAAATGTTTTGTGTGCCCACTTAGCAATCGCATGATTAGTTACATCCGCATGCATCATTACATATTAATTTTTGGTTACTGGGACTTTTAAGTCTCATTCCCCGTGGTTAATATTTTTACAGGAGTGAGTCCGGCCGAGAAAGCACCAGAGGTGTAATTATGGTGTATGAGACATCATCTTTTACGTTGCCTCTTATTTTAGATTATACAATGTATCTTGTGCCAACTTAGGACATATCTTCTTTGTGGAACATGTAAACTCTAATCCTTTTTATTAAATGCATTTATATGTCCAAGAGAATTATGTCTGTCCCTTTTGATTCATGACCTGGTTTGAATAACATGCTATGAGGATCATGTCTGTCCCTCGTAGTTCTAATTGCTTTTTGAGATATTTTAAGACCTGTGGTATATTGTCTTGGATATATCATGGTAGAAATTTTTCTACCATGATAAGGGTATGATAAGGGTTCAATGAAAAAAAAATAATTTGTTGAATGGTTATGTGTTGTTTTGTTGTTTGGAAAAATTATGAATTATTGAAAATAAATACTGTATATACTTGTTTGAAATTATTGCCAAGTGGGTTAAAAATTTATTTTTGTTTATCATGATGAGATATTATTGTTCGGATATATTCCTGTTTGGATATTTGAATGATGCATGACTTGTCAGGGTATTTTAATGTATGGTGTTAATGGGAATTTCTGTTCGGTTAATTATTACCACGTGGTAAGCCCTCATTGGACCCAATGAGTGGCGTGTCGCTTGGTCCAACTCACCTTTGGCCGGGTGATTTGGCGTCCGAGCATGGTGAAAGGAGGATATAAGGTGCAGTCATGCAATTAAATACTTGTTCGGTTTGTTTGAAAATATTGTTCGGTTAAATGTTTTGTGTGCCCACTTAGCAATCGCATGATTAGTTACATCCGCATGCATCATTACATATTAATTTTTGGTTACTGAGACTTTTAAGTCTCATTCCCCGTGGTTAATATTTTTACAGGAGCGAATCCGGCCGAGAAAGCACCAGAGGTGTAATTATGGTGTATGAGACACCATCTTTTACGTTGCCTCTTATTTTGGATTATACAATGTATCTTGTGCCAACTTAGGACATATCTTGTCTATGGAGCATGTAAACTCTAATCCTTTTTATTAAATGCATTTATATGTCCAAGAGGATTATGTCTGTCCCTTTTGATTCATGACCTAATTTAAATAACATGCTATGAGGATCATGTCTGTCCCTCATGGTTCTAATTGCTTTTTGAGATATTTTAAGACCTGTGGTATATTGTCTTGGATGTATCATGGTAGAAATTTTTCTACCATGATAAGGGTATGATAAGGGTTCAATGAAAAAAAAAATGATTTCTTGAATTAATAACTTGCGAAAAATTGGTTTGTAAATTTGAGGGTGTTACATATTGGTATCAGAGCATATAGTCGGTTGGCAATATACATTGTTATGGTGCTTCTCATTGTATGGCCATGATATAGCTAGGCTAATTTTATTATTTATATCTTGTATCCTTTAGGAGGGGAGAGAAAATGCCTGTTACTCGTGGTAACTCAGGATTCCAACATGAGCACCTACCACCGCCACTGCCAAATGAGGAGCCTGACTTGGCGGAATTGAGAATGCTTGTAAAAACATTAACAGACAAGGTTCAAGGATACGAACAAGAGTTGACGGAGCTAAAGAGGCAAAAGGTAACTGAAAATGGAGATAGGGCTCATGTTGAGAGTCATGTGGGGGAAGGCAGTTCCTCACATCCTGCCACTCCGAGAGATCATGAGTCTAGAAGGAAGGAAATTAGGCAGGAGGAACAGAGAGCCCCACCGACCATTACTGATGTGTGGGAAACTGTTAGGAAGTTTAACCCTCCTACGTTTGATGGTAACCTTAAACCATCCGTGGTAGAGGAATGGGTAAAGAGACTCGAATCCATCTTTCGAGTAGTCACATGCACCAGCAATCAAAAAGTACAAGTAGCATTAGTGCTCCTAGTGAAAGGAGCAAGAGATTGGTGGGAGACAGCAGGGCCCAGGGATGATTCTACACTCACCTGGGAGGAATTCAAGGAAAAATTATTCAGGCATTACTTTCCATCAGAGTTAAGGTCTGAGAAGGAAGCGGAATTCCATGCCTTTAAGCAAGGGAACCTCGATGAGGACACATTCATTGCTAAGTTTCAGGAGTTATCTAGATACTCCACGTACCTGCAGTATAGGGATGATTCCGAATGGAAGGCTAAGCGCTTATTGGAGAAGGCTAGACCAGAATTGAGGGAACAATTGGCTCATCTAGATATCCGAGATTATGATGAAATGTGCATAAAACTACAAGTAGTAGCTCGCAGTAAGAAGGAGGTTGAGAGAGAGAAGAGGGGTTATTCATATAGTAGACCCCCAACCTACCCTCGACCCACCGGAGGCATTATGAAGAAAAACCATCAGGGTTCGAGTAGCTCATGGAACCAAGGAAGGCAGAAGGGTCCATTTCAAAGGGGCCAAGGACAGAGGAGCTATCATAGTAGTTATCACGGGTCACAGAGGAGCCCAACAGTATCTACACCTGCCCCGAGTACAGCGAGCTCTCAACAGTGCACTAAATGCGGGCGTCGTCATTTCGGACAGTGCTGGGTCTGTTACATTTGTGGGAAACCCGGTCACATTGCAAAGTTTTGTGGGGACAACCAGGGCTCAAATATGAAGAACCCTTCCCAACATCCTACTGTCTCTGGCCGTGTGTTTGCTCTTACTCAGGACACCATGAACTCCCCAGATGCCATTAGAGGTAACATCAAAATCCTTCATCATGATATTGTTGCACTATTTGATTCGGGTGCTACACACTCTTTTATTTCTGAAACTTGTGTAAAGAACCTTGATTTGCCTGTGTGTATTTTACCTTTTGATATGAATGTGTCTACTCCTGCGGGAGAATCTGTAAGGACTGCTAAGGCATGCCTTAACCTAGTAGTCGAGTTTAAAAATAGGAAAACAACTATGGACTTAATTATCCTACCACTGAGAGGTATGGATGTAATTGTGGGAATGAATTGGATGGCTGCAAATGGTGCTATCCTAGATTGTAGAGAGAGGAGTGTGTCTTTATCTTCTTTGTCGGTGACCCCAGTCGAGACTCAAGATCATGTTTTCTTGTCGGCGGCGCAAGTTGATAGATGTATGAAGAAGGGTTGCCAGGCCTACATGGTTTTCTTCTCTATCCAAGCTGAGATTGATGAAGGCGTGAAAAATATCCCAATTGTCAAAGAATTTGCGGATGTATTTCCAGACGAAGTCTCCGGTTTACCCCCAAAGCGCGAGGTAGAGTTCTCAATTGAATTGGTACCCGGTACAGGGCCAATTTCTAAGGCTCCTTATCGGATGTCCCCTTCAGAGTTAGCAGAACTGAAAAAGCAAATTGAAGAGCTACTTGAGAAGGGTTTCATCAGACCGAGTGTTTCACCTTGGGATCTCCAGTCCTTTTTGTAAAGAAGAAGGACGGAAGCCTCCGATTGTGCATTGATTATAGACAATTGAACAAAGTAACCATCAAGAACAAATATCCACTTCCGAGAATCGATGATTTGCTGGATCAGCTTGTGGGATCCGCAGTTTTCTCAAAGATTGACTTAAGGTCAGGGTACCACCAATTGAGAGTGAGAGCAGAGGATATACCTAAGACAGCATTTCGGACGAGATATGGGCATTATGAATTCATGGTGATGCCGTTTGGACTTACGAATGCTCCTGCGGTATTCATGGATTACATGAATAGGATCTTTCGACCCTATTTAGATAAGTTTGTAGTAGTGTTTATTGATGACATTCTTATTTATTCAAAGGATGAGGAGGCTCATGGTGAACATTTAAGAATCGTCTTGCAAGTTTTGAGGGAACATAAGCTTTATGCCAAATTAAACAAGTGTGAATTTTGGCTCCAAGAAGTAAAGTTTTTGGGCCATGTTGTGTCCAGAGACGGAGTTGCGGTGGATCCTAGCAAGATTGATGCAGTGATGAAGTGGGAACAGCCAAAATCTGTTACAGAGATACGAAGCTTTTTAGGTTTAGCAGGTTATTATCGTCGCTTTATTAAGGGATTTTCGCAAATTGCGATGCCCTTAACTAAGCTGACTAAGAAGGATGCCCCATTTATTTGGACTGACAAATGTGAAGCTGCTTTCCAAGAATTGAAAAAGAGGTTAACCACTACTCCAGTATTGACTATTCCTGACCCTGTGGTGCCGTACACTCTGTACACTGATGCTTCTTTAAAGGGTTTAGGATGTGTTTTGATGCAAAATGACCGAGTGGTTGCCTATTCCTCCAGACAGTTGAGACCACACGAGGAAAATTACCCTACTCATGATTTGGAGTTAGCTGCAGTTGTGTTTGCTCTAAAGATATGGAGACACTACTTGTATGGATCTAAGTTTCAAATCTTCAGTGACCATAAGAGCCTGAAGTATTTATTTGATCAAAAAGAGCTTAATATGAGGCAGCGACGATGGATGGAATTTCTGAAGGATTATGACTTTGAATTACATTACCATCCGGGTAAGGCTAACGTGGTAGCTGACGCCTTAAGTAGAAAGACTATTCATGCTGCACATTTGATGGTTCATGAATATCATTTGTGGAACAGTTTTCATGATGTTCCAGTAGATGTGATTGAACATCAAATGGCCGCACTCCAGGTAGCAGACTTTGAGAGCAAATTTGGGAAGATCTCAGAGTCTCACAGCAGAGTGATGACTACTTAAGGAATATAAGGAAGGAGATAGTGGTAGGTAAGGCCCCAAATTTTACCATCTCTGAGGACACAGTGATGAAGTATAAAGGTAGAGTTTGTGTACCTAATGATCCAAGATTGAGGAATATCCTTTTAGAAGAAGCTCATAGGAGCAAATATACAATTCATCCCGGTATAACTAAAATGTACCATGATTTGAAGCGAGGTTGGTGGTGGCCAGGAATGAAGAAAGATGTAACTGAATTTGTTTCTAGATGTTTAACGTGTCAGAAGATAAAGATAGAACATCAGAAGCCAGCTGGAACACTGCAACCGTTAGATATTCCAAAGTGGAAATGGGATGATATTTCCATGGATTTCATCACTGGACTGCCAAGAACACCCTCGAGTAAGGATGCTATTTGGGTGATAGTAGACCGACTCACCAAATCAGCTCACTTTTTGGCGATCAAGTTTACCTCTACATTAGAGAAATTTGCTGAGATATACATTAAGGAGATAGTTAGACTTCATGGTATACCCTCTAGAATTGTGTCAGATCGTGACCCAAGGTTCACTTCAAACTTTTGGGGTGCGCTACAGAAGGCTATGGGTACCAGACTGAGTTTTAGCACCGCATACCACCCCCAAACAGATGGACAAACAGAGAGGACGATCCAGACTTTGGAGGACATGTTGAGAGCTTGTGCCATTGAACTACCAGGTAGTTGGGATAATCATTTGCCATTAGCTGAATTTGCTTATAATAACAGCTATCATTCTAGTATTGGGATGGCGCCTTATGAGGCCTTGTATGGAAGGAAGTGTAGATCGCCTTTGTGTTGGACAGAATTAAGTGAGAGGAGTATCATTGGTCCAGAAATTGTAGAGCAGACCACCCAGAAGATTGCAATGATTAAGCAAAAATTGCTAACCGCTCAGAGCCGACAGAAGAGCTATGCTGATAAGAGGAGACGGCCGTTAGAGTTTGAAGTAGGAGATCATGTATTTTTGAAGGTTTCTCCAGTGACAGGCATTGGTAGATCCATTAAGGCAAAGAAGTTGACACCTAGATTTATGGGCCCGTATGAGATCTTGGAGCGAATTGGATCTACTGCATATAGAGTTGCATTACCTCCACAGATTGCAGGTATCCATAATGTGTTCAACGTATCACAGTTGAAGAAGTACAACCCGGATCCCTCCCATGTTATTGAACCTGAAGAAGTAGAATTGAGGGAGAATTTGACCTTTAGATCCGAACCGGAGCGAATTGAGGACTTTAAGGACAAACAACTACGCAATAAGACCATCCGACTCGTGAAGGTGATTTGGAAGGGTGGAGCCCTAGGTGATGCTACTTGGAAAACCGAGGAGAGTATGAGGCGAGATTATCCACATTTATTTGCTTAGGTACATAGTTTCTATGCTTATCTATTAAATTTTGAGGACAAAATTTCTAAAAGGAGGGGAGAATTGTAACATCCTGATTTTTTATATAATAAAGAAATTGTGGAATTTAGGTTTTGAGAAAAAAAATGATAATAATAGGAATTTATATTATTTGAGGTTATTTAGAAATAATATTATGGTTAGGTATTTAATTATGAATTTAAAAATTTAAATTTAAAACCACATAAGCAATATTTAGTTAAGATATAATACATAAATAATTTTTTTTATGTGTGGTTGAAAAAAAAAAGAGAGAAGGTAGAAGGAACAAAAAAAAGGGGGTGGAAGGTTGTTGTTTTAAGTCCCACATTGGTTAGATGAGGGAAGAGAAGAGGTGCCTTCATGTATAAAAAGGAGGGGGTGTGTGCATTAGGAAGCATGAGAGGCTAAGATGCAATTTAGAGAAAATTGCAACTTTTGGCCCAAAGGTTTGAATAATTAAATTCAAACCTATAGTTTTTTTTTAATATAATTTTGGGACTCACAATCCCTTTTATATTATTTTCTCTCTTCCTCTCACGTTGCTCGGCGTTTTCTCACAAGGGGGGATTATTTTCTTTTTTCTTCAGGTATGTTCTAACTTTCCTGTTTAGATTAGCATTTAAAAATTTATTTAATTACAAAATTAATTTTATAGTTATTTTCTAAATAATATTAGCTCTTTCTAGTGATATGATTATTTTGTAGGATAGAGTAAATATTTTGATTAGGATTTTTCTATAGGATAGTTAATCTGATGATATGATGGATTAAAAATATAGGTTAAAATTCTTAGGGATAGGTAAAATATTATAGAATATTTCTTAAGGTGAAACTCATGGTTAAGAATTTTTGAGTTAAAATCTAGATCT